AGCCAGTAAGCAGCACTCCTCCATAGCCTCTGCGTCAGCTCTTGCCTCCAGGTTCCTGCCCTGTTTTAAGTGCCTGTCCTGACTTCCTTCAATGGTGAGCAGTATTATGGAAGTGTAAGCCAAACAAACCCTTTCCTCTCCACATTTCTTTGGTCATGGTGTTCGATCACAGCAATAGTAACCCTAACTAAGAAACCCGGCATGGTGGTGCACACCTTTAATCCCGGCACTCGGGAGACAGAGTCAGGCCGATCTCTGTGAGTTTGAGGCCAGCCTGAGCTATACAGTGAGTCTCAGGCCAGGCAGGGCTACATAGAGAGACTGTCTAAATAAATTAACTAAAGTTTATGTATCAGTTTTAAAAATTAATTTAAGCCGGGTGGTGGTGGCGCACGCCTTTAATCCCAGCACTCGGGAGGCAGAGGCAGGCGGATCTCTGTGAGTTCAAGGCCAGCCTGGTCTACACAGCGAGTTCCAGGGAAGGCGCAAAGCTACACAGAGAAACCCTGTCTCAAAAAACAAACAAAAATTAATTTAAAAATAATTAATTTTCTTTTTAATGCCGAGTCCCCTTTGCTACTCACTGTTGCTCTGGGTGCTGTCCTCCAACCTTTGTGCCCCACCCAGGCTGTCCCTCCACTCCTGGACAGGGGAAATGAATGTGGGGGGGGGGGGTCAAGGTGCAACTTTGCAATGGGATGCAGGCAGCAGATACGATCATCAGCGTACACTGGGGTGTCATGGAAGAAGGAAAGAGCTGTAGTTGAAGAGAAGCCTGAACCCTGTGTTTGACTCCATGTCTGCTCCTAACCCACCTGTCCAAAAAGTGCTTTTCAGTGAAGGGCGGGGAAGAGAAGACAGAGCGAGAAGGGAGAGTCCCATCATTTTGCTCCAGGGAATAGAGTAATTTGGGACTTCATGGCCTCTTGAAGTTGAACTGGTATCACCTGTCCTACACTTTGTTCTAAAGCATGAGGAAGTGGGGGGTGGGGGTGGGGGGCTCTGGCAGCTGCTAGCATTCTCTGCCAATCAACCGGAAAAACTCAAGAGCTGTGGGGTGTCCCAGAAGGCAGGCTAGGTTGTGGCGATGCCTAGGCCATCCCCTACAAGATACCCATCAGGACCACCTGAGGAGCTGTTCCCTGCATGGAGGACAGAGGGCTCACCCAGGAAGAGAGAGAGCAGGGCTTTCCCTGACAAGCCACTCAAGAAGGGCTGTGAAAGGGTCAGCGGAAGTTCCCCACTTCAAATCTTTCCTGTTTCCTTTCTTCCCTGTGCTTACCAAGCTGACTTGCATGGTCTCTGCCTAATCTGGATGGAATTTCCTCCTCCACCCACCTGGCATGCGCCCTACAGTCTTGAACACTTCTGAGCATGGGCTCTTGCTTCCACCTCACAGGCCAGTCTAAGCCACCCTACCACTTGCCACCCAGTTAGAGGCTCCTGGGAAAATGCTGCAAGCCCAGGGTAGAGAGAAGCCACAGTTGGGTAGGAGCCTGCAGACACCCAGGCATCCTACATCCCTGACTTGGTACCCCTCTACTGGTTGTTATACTCATGGGAGCACTCAGAGGCCCCACCAGTCTGTCTTTAAATGAAGCATTCCCATCTGCCACGGGCTATAAAGACCAAGAGAAAAAGAGGTTGGAAAAACTGATGCAAAGGCTTCCCAATAGGGACTTAAATAACCTCAGGCTATTGCTGCCGATTATGGACCATCAGATGCTATGATGCTCATCCTTTGTTTGGAAATGGAGTTTTGCTACGTAGCTCAGGCTGGTCTTGAACTCACACTATGAATTCAGGCTGACCTCAAATTCTCCATCTTTCCCGCTCAGCTCCCAAGTACTAGGATTCAATGCATGCACTATCTGGCCTGGCCAGAAGTGTTTTTTCACTATCTCTAGGGAACACGACCCAAACAGAACTTCAACAGGGTTTCTTCCTACCAAAGCCATACCTGCTTATATGCCATGCTGTCACCAACCTGTCTTTCAAATGCTCGGCCCACTGGTGAATCGAAAAACCCACAGTTTGAAAAACCCTGGACATTAAGGTGGCATTGGGAGCGGGACAGAATCTCACGAGAAGGCCACTTCAGCATTAGAACAGTAGACATCCACAAGTCCTCTTACTATACTTGAGACCACAAAACCAAGGAGCTCAGCAGGCTTAGGGCTGCAGAGGACCTGCCCTGGGTTCCACAGCTCACACATCCTAGGATAGCAAGTCTGAAAAAAGCAGGCTGACTCAACACTCACACTTAACAATGACAAGCTCAAAGCGAGAAAAGGAATGCCTTTTCAAAAATCAAACTTTGTTTTCTTTCCAAGACATGACTTACATGCATTTGGGTTCAGTGGTGATAATTAAAAGGACAACAGGTGTGCCATGGATGGGGGACAAGTTAAAGGCGAAGGGAGTGTGCCCATTTTCCCCACCATAAAACGAAGGCACGCATCAGTGCTCAGGGCAGAGAGCAAGTGAGCTGAAGAGCTGCCAACCCAACCCAGGTCTCCTGACTCCATTACTCAGTCTTCATCATCCAAAATATTGAAGAGGGACGCAGCTGTGGTCTTCCCCACGCGACACATTTCCATGACCGGGGCCTAGTTATGTCCCCGTCACCTCGGGCTAGCCACAGACAGCTGTGATGATCTGGACAGACACTGGCCCACCTGCTGCCTGCTTGGAGTCATACAGCTTGTGCCACTTAACCTCTGTCTTTTTTTTTTTTCTGTCTTTGCTGAAAACTAGAAAGAAAGAAAAAAAAATCCTTGCTACCCCAAGAAAGCTGCAGGAGAACACAAAAGGAACTTCACACCCAAGCCTGTGAGACTGAGACCTGCAGAGCCCCAGGGTCACTACCCACAGCCAGGATCAGAATCTGAGACCTAGGAGAACTTGATGACTGGTAATGAAAAACTTCATTGTGTAAGCAAGTGTATAAGGTGCAAACATAACTTTTGACAGTCAATGCAGGTACACACACACACACACACACACACACACACACACACGTGCTCACAAACATGCTCACAACTCACACTCACAAATACACATGCTCTCTCACACACACAGCTCACACACACATTCATACACACAATTCACATAAGTTCGCTTTCTCTTAAACACATTCACACACACTCACATGTTCACAGTTCACACAAGCACACACATGTTCACAGTTCACACAAAACACAGGCTTTCTCTCACACACATTCACACACACACACACACACACACACACACATACACACACACACACCCTATGTTTATACCCTATGTTTGTCCATCCACAGATGAGAACTTTCTGGAAGACTCAAGCACACAGATGAAGGTCTGAATCCAGACAGGCAGGGCAAAGTGTGGGAGAACAAAACACACAGCGCATTACTTACACAGAGGAGACAAAAGCCTTGACTGTCAAACAAACCAAAAGGCATCAATAATTGCTTCTAACCTCCAAAGGAAGCTAAAGTGATCCTTGAGCCAGAATTCAGGGCAAACGAGGCACCAGGCCTCCCAGGTGGAAGGGCTCTTTTGATGGAATGTCATCTCCAAGTCAATTAATAGCTCCTAACTTTCCCCCGACTCTAACCAAGACACCTTAGACTGCAGAACATGTCATCACATTTGATCTGTTCTTTCCCATACTAATGCCATCTAGTGTGTGTCCCAGGTCTCTCTGAGGTGATCTGAAAATCTAAGACGTCCCCCACGATTCCCCACGAGGACAGTGGAGGGACAGAACTGATGACTAGGTCTGGCAGAGAGCTAGCTGGAAGACAGGCCTTACCTTATTATGCCCAGTGTCTGTTCTCACTGGACTTGGCCTGTCCAGCCACTGACTGCCAGCTCTGAGAAAACCCAAATATTCACACCTGCTCAGGTGGGGCCCGCAGCAGCATTTAAGGGACTGTTTTGTGTGTACAGACATGACCCCTTGCCTTACAAAACAACTGTCACTTAGTGAGGACAAGTTCCCCCAAAGCATACTGGAGGGGCAGCTCAGAATTCAAGCATCTAAGACTGGGAGCAAGCTCCTCTGCTCCCATCCCTCGTGCCTCGTGTTTATTCATAGGTTAACTCTCAGAGATGTCCCCTGAGTATTAGATGAGTTCCACCCCTAAAAGTCACTACAAGTATTACTTCCTGCATCTCTCGCGGGGCCTCTCCAGGTCCAGCACAGGCAGCTCTCAGTCTAAGACTCTCACCTGTTCAAACCGCCTCTTGACAGAAGCGCATGCGAAACTACCTTGGGAAGTGACCAGGTCAAACGGGGTCTATTACACAACCCACAGCCTTATAGTTTGCCAGTCCACCTCGCAGCAAGCAAAAGACAGCAAACGACCCTGTAGGTCCCACTGCCTCCCAGTAGAATTAGGTGGGAAGGGAGGCGTCACGCGGCATGTCACCGATCCCAGATCCCTAAAGAGCTGTCCCGAGCCTGGGGACACGGCGCTGATGGCTCGTCCCCAGTCCCTAAACCACCCCAGAGCAGCAGACACGCGCCGGGGTCAGGGAGCGCGCTGCCCGGTGGAAGGGGGAGGGGGGAACGATTCACCGAGGAGCGCTGCGGTCGCTTCCCGGTGGCCAGCTCCCTAGGAAGCCTCGCACGTGCAGTGCCCGCCCGGTCAGACGGCGCAAAGCCACAGCCACCGTCGTGCACAGAGTGCTCACCACTTTGTGTCCGTCTCCCCTGCCCCCCCCCCCCCCTCCGGTGATCGCGAAGAGGACCAAAGTGTGGGGCTCCATGGCAGGATCTGGGAATACTCCCCCAGGGCATCGCGGAAGGAGCGACGCAGCACGCTCCTCCGAGCCCGGGCTGCACGCGCCCAGTCCGGGAGAGACCCCTTGGCCTGTCTCTGCACCCCGAGGGACCGGCAGCGTGGCTTCACGGCGCTGCCCTGGGGCTGGGGCTGCGCGGGATGCAAACGCGCGCGCTGCTACGGCTGCTCTCCCGGCTCCTTTCCCCCACAGTCCTCCGCGCGCCTCACCTTCACGGAGTCCAACGGGTACATGACGGAGTGCTCCAGAATCCCGGCCATCGCTCCCGCTGTCATGTGGGTGGACACCGAGGCGCTGGTCGGTAGGTTCTCGTAGTCCTCCGACCCGGCGTCCTTGCTGCCGCAGCCGCCATCGCGGCAGTCCCCATCCATCCTCCGGCCCGCAGCCTGGCTCCCCACGCCGCCTCGGTGGAGCTCCATCCGCAGCCCCGCGGGGCGCGGGAGGCGGCAGGAGGTGGGCAGGAGGGGAGGGGGAGGAAAACTTCACTTCTTAAAGTGGGAACCTCCTCCCCCGGGTTGCGGCGGCTGACGCCATGGCGGGCTGGGGTGGAGCCGAGCGGCCCGAAGCACCAATAGCTGGAGAAGAAGAGGCCGGCTGCGCCCGCGCTATTGGTGCTCCCGGCAGCGGGCACCCGCCTCCCTGTGTGACGTCGCAGCCCGCTGCACATTTCCAAGCAACCGGATGGGGGCGAGAGCCGACGTTGGGGTGTCCCGGGAAGTTGTGCTACCTAAGGAGTGGTGACCATCTGCAAGGGACAGCCAGGTCCCTGGGGAGAGTCAGCAGAAGGGATAAACCCAGAACTGCAATATGAGGAGCAGGGGCTGTCCCCAGAACCCGCGGTTTTGCAGACACTGGTCACCCAGCTTCAGCATTCCTTAGGCTAGAGGTCGGGTAGGAGGGGAGGAAGATTACTGGGAATGTGAATTATGAAGCGTGATGGGTGGACGTTGGAGTAGGGAGAGAGATGTATCCTAGAATCAAGAGCACACCTGGATATCAATGGTACCTTTTGTGCTCCACTAGGGCACGTTCCAGGTAGTGAACAATTAACACTCAAGGTCCCCCCTTCTAGTTTGTTTGGAGAGAACCTCATTGATTGGGAAATGTGTTTCTTCTCTGAAAACCATGAAGGGCTAAATGTGTTCCTCTTGTTCTCTTGAAGACCCTAGGCCACCCTGTCCTGGACTGACCAAGACAATAGCAGCAGGAACAGAACCCTTCACTAAGCAGCTCCCTGGGTCATTTACTTTGGGTTTGTAAGGTCCTTAGCTGATATTACAGAGAGAGTGCCCAAATGACTGAATAAAGCTTTGCAACAAAGTCTGCCTGTCCTTTAAGACTATTCTTTTAAAGCCATCCCTACTGGCTCCTTCAATGAATCGGAGCCCAGGATGCTGTGTTTTAACTTAATATTTCCTTGCTCCGTCTGAGGTTAAGTGTAGAAATCAAAAAGGAGAGGTCTGCCTGCTTACGGAAGGCTCCATCCTCACGTGCATTAGGACCTATGCCAGGGCTGAGGACTGATCTCCAGACCCTGGGCCTCCCTCACTTATCTAGAGAAAACTTCTGAGCAGCAAGACTGGGCAATGAGATATGCAAGGGTGGAGGAGACCCTGTGGATACTGTGCCTGCCAAGCTACAGGTCAGCACATCTCAGGCAGCCCCAGATTCAGCGATGGCCACGTCAAAAGAGGACAGTGAAAGTGTCAAGGCCAAGGGCACCATTTGCTAGTCTTGGGTAACTGTCCTAGTAGTTTTCAGGTACGTTCTAAGACTGTGAAAGTAGATACCAGATTACTGTTTAACAAAGGTGACAGAAATGTGCCTCAACTTTTGACAACGATCCTGTTTCAGAACTGTTGATCAGAAGTTGTTGACACTCACAAGGATGTATCCCAGCAATCAGGAGTGTGAGGCAAGGGGATAGCAACTAGTTTGAGGGCAGTTTGTGCTATATGGTAAGTTCCAGACCAGCCTGAGTTCAGTGGGAGACCCTGTGACATACAAACAAAAATGGATTTCTTCAGCCAGTACATATGAATGCCCTATCCCACTTCTGGATTCCAGACATGAAGGCCTGAGACATATGCAAAGCTTTTGGAAGCATTATTTGTAGGAGCTATCTAAATATTCAGTAAGAGGGGAAATGAAGAAGTGATGACGTGTATTAGTGAAATATTACACAGCCCCTAAAAAAAACGTGGCTCTGTTAGGCAATCACAAAGGAAATGATTCATACACTGTTGGGTAAAAAAAAAAAACACAGCACAACTCTGTGGCCATGACACTCACAGAATGTCTGTGCACAGAAATAAAAGTGAAATGACTTGTGACTCTTGTTTTTCAGATTTCAGTTAGTATGTTATTTCTGTGATTTTAAAAATAAAATAATATCACCTCCTAATGGATAGGAAATGGGAAACTGTTTGAAATTTGCAACAGCGGCATTGGTGGGAGAAATTCAACTTATCAGTGACTAAGATTATCCTTGAGTTGTTTTTTTTTTTTATTGCAGGAGATTCTTGCAAATGTGAATATGACTCTAATCTTCAGAGTCAAAAGATTTTTAAATTCTTCTTTAAAGGTTCACTACTGCGTAGCTCTCGCCTCTCACCAAAGAAGTTTCTCTTTGCAGCAGATAGAGACCATCACAGAAAGCCATAGCTTGTCCAGTTGCAAAGGACACGCAACCGTGAGGTAGGTACCCAACCCCAACTGTTACATCTGCAACTCAACCCCTGTACCCGAGGCTCACAGAACATGGATATGGAAGGGACAGAAAGGTTATAAGGACCAGAGGACCGGGACATCTGCTGGGGAAGAGTGGTTTTGTTGTTGTTTTTGCTTTATTTTGTTTGGTTTGTTTGGTTTTGGTTTTTCAAGACAAGGTTTCTCTGTGTAGCCCCGGCTGTCCTGGAACTCACTCTGTAGACCAGGCTGGCCTTGAATTCAGAGATTCCCCCTGCCTCTGCCTCCCAAGTTCTGGGATTTAAAGGTGTTCGCCACCACCTCCCAGCAACAGTGTTGTCTATAAGACAGAGAAGTGGCCCCCAGGAAACTGCAACAATACGGTTACCTAAACAAGCCCTGAAAAATGACACCACCTGTTGACATGGCAACATGGATGGGGGAATTCTCACAAGGCTCCACCCCTAGATGAAGAACTACAAGCAATTAATGGTTGCTAAGAGAGGGAGAAGCAGTCTTCTCCAGGAATGAGGCCCAGAGAGGCTATCTAGTCCCAAAGAGGTTAGCCCTAAACACATATGAGCCATACTAAACTCAGCAGGTGGTATTTATAAATGTACGTGTCTATATGTAGGCTGGAGAGGTGGCTCAGCGGTTAGGGGCACTGGGTGCTCTTCCAGAGGTCCTGAGTTCAATTCCCAGCACCCACATGGTCACTCACAACTGCCTATTCTGGGATCTGATGTCCTCTTCTGGTGTGCAGATGCACATGCAGACATGGCACCCATATACATAAAACACAAATCTTTTTTTAAAAAAGAATAAAAGGCCATTGAGAAGGAGTGTGAGGGCACAAGAGGAGTTGGAGGAGGAGGAGAAGGGGAAATTGTGTAACTCTAGTATTTATATATGAAATTCATACAAAAAAATAAATATTAAAAATCAAACTATGAAGAGAATTCAAGTCAGGCCCAACTGCAAATCTGTGAGCACTTGTTGTAAGTGCTCAGTACTTTTTTTTTTCTACCTCTCTATATGATGGCCCGTGTACCCATATGTATCTTATACTCACTGAATTGCAGCGGCCACATTTCTAAGATGCCCTTGCAGCCAGCGGTCCAGATGTGCTGGTCTCCCGGTAGATGGACTGGAGAGACCTGGACAGCAGAAGTGCATCCAGAACCATCTGCTGCTGCTTGCTGTTTTCCGCTCCCCAAGAAGGCTGCAGACACTTGGGGTATGGGTGTCAGAAAGGACTGTGTCTGGCCACCAGACAGATGGCTGTTGAGAGCCTCTGATGGCAGGAACGATGGCAGCCTCCCAAGCTCTTCATGAGAGCTTCATATGTGACCTCCTGATCCCCCACCTCCCGTGATGTGAAAGTTCGCTGTCCCCTCGAGAAACCATCCTGGCTGTGTGCATCTGAGAGTTATCCTCAGAGACCTAGCCTGGAGTCTGCTCTCCACACCTCCAACAACACCATGCATAGCAGTAGAAGGGCCCGGCGGTGGAGGAGGACTCACAGCTGGACATGGGAATCCAGCAGCCAGCCTGGAGGAAGGCCTGTTGGGACAAGATCCACATTCCAGCCCTAGAACCCTGTGTTTTGGACACACCCTGCGCTGACAAAGCTGCTCTTTCTTTGAAAGGCAGGAGCCCAGGAACCCAGGATCAGAAGATTGGCTGCTGAGTAGATATTCTCTCCAGGGTCAGGTCAGGAGGTGCAGAGTGATGATTCCGCAGGAGTCTTGCATAAAGTTCCTGACCGTTGAAGGCCTGAAGATGTCAGCATGCCATCTGCCCCAGGCCAACTGGAAGCCAAGCTCAGTTTAGAAAGAGGAAGTTGCTGAGCATGCAGGGTGCACAGCCTCTAACTTTGGCTCAGAGACCTGTGCCAGCTCTGGTTCCACCATTTACAGACAATGAGGTCCTGGCCTCTAGATTGGCCTGCTTCCTCTGTAGGCTACAGCCAGGGACACTTAACCACACACAAAGTGAAATACTTTGCAAGGTTGAAAATGAAAGCATCTCAAGTGTATATATTAAAAAGCCCACAAACTCCCTCACAACTGCACATATCTGTCCCTATAATCCCAGAATCCCTTGCTTTTCCAAGGACAGTACTATTTATAGACTCTTGACCTGTGACTCATCCTCAGGAATAAGTTTCCCCCAAGACACAGAAGAAGAAACGGAGAAAAAAATAAAGAGGTGGTACAGAACTGCCTCAGTTTACCAGGCTTCCTTTGATCACAGGTGGTGACAGGTATATAGAGTTGAGAATCCCATCAGCAGGTAGAGGGGACCTGACCTGTTAACCTACTCCACCTCTTAAGAGTCTGGCCCCTTCTCCGGCCTCAGCCACTCCAGTCCACAAGTCACCATGACAGCGTGACATCAGCAAAGCCCAAGTGCTGAGAGGTGGTCCGGTTCTGCTCCTGGGGAATGCCTGCCCCATGCTGCATGACCTGAAGACACCATCTTGGACCAATATTTCTGCACTGCTGTGGGCCTTGCTCTCTCTCCATAGCCAACCCTCTCATGGGCTGAAAGCCCAGGGCGGCCAAAGGGGATGTCAACGCAGTGCTAGTGGCATGGGAAGCAAAGCGGTGAACACGCTGCGGCCGAAACAAGTCCTACCCGTGCCTCTGTAGGGTGGGCCATAGGCCATCCACCAGCTGCCCTCCGTGTTGGCTGGCCCATAAGATTTCCCCCTCCCAGCCCATTTTCACAAACATACGGTGCCTCCTGTACCTAGGAAAATCTCTCTTCCCAGCCTCACCCTTTAAACCGCTGCCAACCCCCCTCCCCCATCCCAAAGTCCTTGAAAGCGTTACCTCCTTTCCTCACTCCTTTATG